TTGAAGAAAGAAATTGAAGAGGATACCAGAAAATGGAAGGATCTCCCTTGCTCTTGGATTGGGAGGATCAACATAGTAAAAATGGCAAATTTACCTAAGGCAATTTATAGATTCAATGCAATCCCCATCAAGGTCCCATCAAAATTCTTCACAGATCTTGAGAGGACAATAATCAACTTTATATGGAAAAACAAAAAAAAAACCCAGGATAGCCAAAACAATCTTATACAATAAAGGAACTTCTGGAGGCATTAACATAGATAATAGTTTTCAAACTCTGTTACATAGATACAGCAATGAAAAAGCATGGTATTGGCATAATAACAGAGAAGTCGACCAATGAAATCATATAGAAGACCCGAATTTTAACCCACAAACCTATGAAAACCTCATTTTTATGAAAGGCACTAAAAGTATACAATGGAAGAAAGAAAGCATCTTCAACAAATGGTGCTGGCACAACTGGATGTCAACCTGTAGAAGAATGAAAATAGACCCATATCTATCACCATGCACAAAACTCAAGTCCAAATGGATTAAAGACCTCACTATCAGTCAGAACACATTGAACGTAATAGAAGAGAAAGTTTGAAGTACCCTACAACACATGGGCACAGGAGATCGCTTCCTATGTATAACCCCAGCAGCACAGACATTAAGGGCAACATTGAATAAATGGGACCTATTAAAACTGAGAAGCTTCTGTAAATCAAAGGACACTGTCACTAAGACAAAAAGGCAACCCACTCACTGGGAGAAGATCTTCACCAATCCTGCAACAGACAAAGGTCTGATCTCCAAAATATATAGAGAACTCAAGAAACTAGACTTTAAAATTCTAATTAACCCAATTAAAAAATGGGGCACTGAACTGAACAGAGAATTCTCAACATAAGAAGTTCAAATGGCCAAAAGACACTTAGGGTCATGCTAAACCTCCTTAACGATAAGGGAAATGCAAATCAAAACAACTCTGAGATATCATCTTACAGCTGTCAGAATGGCTAAACTCAAAAACACCAATGATAGCCTTTGCTGTGACGTTGTGGAGAAAGGGGTACACTCTTCCATTGCTGGTGGGAATGCAAATTGTCCAACCACTTTGGAAAGCAGTGTGGCAGTTTCTCAGGAAATTCGGGATCAAACTACCCCTGGACCCAGCAATACCACTCTGGGGAATATACCCAAGAGATGCCCTGTCATATGACAAAATCATCTGTTCAACTATGTTCATAGCAGCATTATTTGTAATAGCCAGAACCTGGAACCAACCTAGATGTACTTAATTGGAAGAATGGATGAAGAAAGTATGGAATATCTACACATTAGAGTACTACTCTGTGGTAAAAAAACAATGACTTCTTGAATTTTACAAGCAAATGGATGGAAATAAAAACACTATCCTGAGTGAGGTGTCCAGACCCAAAAAGATGAACATGGGATGTACTCACTTATAATTGGTTTCTAGCCATAAATAAACGACATTGAGTCTATAATTTGTGATCCTAAAGAAGCTAAAGAAGAAGGTTAACCCAAAGAAAAACACAGTTATCCTGCTGGATATTGGAAGTAGACAAGTTTGCCGAGCAAATGTTGGGATCTTGGGGGTGGGGTGGGATAGGGGTAAGCGGCGATGGGGATAGAGGAGTGCGAAGGGGAGGATGGAGGGAACTTGGGGAATTGAGATGGTTGAGATAAAGGAAGGATGGATATGGGAGCAGGGAAGCATATATCTTAATTAAGGGATCCAACTTAGGGTGGGCAAGAGACCTGAACCTAGAGGGGCTCCCAGGTGCCCAGCTAAATGTCCCCAGTTAGTGCCTTGGGCAGCTGAAGATAGGGAACCTGAAATGGCCCTATCCTACAACCACACTGATGAATATCTTGCATATCAGCATAGAATCTTCATCTGGTGATGGATGAAGATAGAGACAGAGACCCACACTGGAGCACTGGACTGAGCTCCCAAGGTCCCAATGAGGAGCAGACGGAGGGAGAACATGAGCAAGGAAGTAAGGACCGTGAGGGGTGCAACCATCCACTGAGACAGTGAGGCTGATCTATTGGGAGCTCACCAAGGCAAGCTGGTCTTTGACTGAAAAAGTATGGGATAAAACAGGACTCTCTGAACAATGAGGACTGATGAGAAGCCAAAGACAATGGCACTGGGTTTTGATCCTACTTCATGTTGTGGCTTTGTGGGAGCCTAGCTAGTTTGGATGCTCACCTTCCTAGACCTAGTTGGAGGGGGGAGGACCTTGGACTTTCCACCTGACTGCTCTTCGGTCTGGAGAGGAAGGGGGAAAGGAGTGGGGGGAGGGGGAGTTCAGTGGTAGGAAGGAGAGGGAAATGGGAGGATAAAAGGAGGCAGAAATTTTTTTCAAGAAAAAAAAAACTAGGAAAAAATTTGAATCATATATCAGAGTCAAACAGGGCCAGAGAGAACCCTTTAGTGACATTTCCCACAGATTATCTAAAACTGTACACATACAGGAGTGACAGAGCCAGATGGTAGATGAGTACTTAATAAATTAATGCCAAATGTTTTAATTGTGGTAGAATAGGACATCTGAGAAGGAATTGAAAGCAAAAAATTCCTAAGAATAGTATCTCCTCTAGGAATTGGAGGACTCAGCCTTCCGGTATATGTAGAAGGTATGGCAAAGGCTGACATTGGACCAATGGATGCAGATCAACAAAAGACAGACAAGGCAACCTGATACCATCGGGAAACTCCTTCGTGGGGGGGGGCGCCTCGCCCCCTACCCAAAAATAGTCCAATCAATCCCAGTCACTGTGGAGGACATGTACAAACTTAAATTATACTGAATATGTTCCCAATTTTCATCCAGAATATTTGTATACCTATGCAAAGTTTTTTGTAATATTTTATGCATGCTAGCTTCTACCTCTGCTTAAGACATTTTGTATATTGATACAATTTTAGGACATTTTGAGGTCATTGTCCTCATTTGTTGCACTATTGTTTATTGTATAATATTCTAATACGAATTCTTAGACTTTAAGTTATATAGGTATTAAGAATTACAGATCAATAGTCATCTATGTTTGTCATACTTATAGTTAGACTGCTCAGGTTATTTAGATACTTAGAGATTGTATTCTGCATAAACAGGTAGTCTTCAAGCACTTTAAAGAGCTGTACAATATGTCAATTAAATAACTTAGGGTTCTGTTGATGGTAGACACGACTGTTCCTGGCAACACTGATCCATTTCCAAGAGAACAATGAGCAGTGAAGACACTCTACTTGGAGCTTGGTTTCTTCATGGAAACACTGCACTTTGGGCAAGAATCTTCCCATGAATCAACCACTGAAAAAATGCACAATGTCTGGACAGGACAAGCAGGATAAAGGAAAATAGACTGTCAAATCTTGCCAAGATGGGGTAAGACGGGTTTGAAAATTTTCCTGCCTCTGAAAATGGTCTGTCAGTTACACTAGGCCTTAGCCTACGTTGGTTGCTCCAAGGTTGCAAATGAGACTTTGGGTGATTGTCCAGGTATCCAGTTGTCTCTGTCATTTGTTGCACATTTTGAAAGTTGCTTGACTGCACTTCAGGCTTACTCAAGTAATATTATTTCCCTTCTAGGGTCTTCATTGGGGTTGAAGACTAGACAGTTGTTGTTACTTTCTTCTCATGACTTGGCAAGTTATTTATTATACAAGACTTAAACTCATTAGGATAGAATAATTATTAAAATATTCATCACGTTTCTTGCTTGATATTGTTTATGCTGGTTGTAATTCTAATTAAGTCTCTCAAGAGAAAAAAAATAAAGAAGCAACCCAGGACAAGGTATTTACACTGCAAGATTCTACTAGATATTGAAAGAAAAATTAACAGCAATTTTCCTCAAATTGATATGAAACAGAAATACTGCCTAATTCTTTTCATGAGGCTACACTTACTCTAAATTATATAAAGACCCAACAACGAAACCAATAAACAAATATCCCTTAAAAAGAAATGCAAAAATTCTCACTACGACTAGTAATCACAACCTAAGGACACATTAAAAAATTATTTAAAAGATTTTTTTTTTTAATTTTTCGAGACAGGGTTTGTCCGTAGCTTTTGGTTCCTGTCCTGGAATTAGCTCTTGTAGTCCAGGCTGGCCTCGAACTCACAGAGATCCGCCTGCCTCTGCCTCCTGAGTGCTGGAATTAAAGGCGTGCGCCACCACTGCACGGCTATTTAAAAGATTTTTTAATGATAAGATTTTGCTTGTAGTTCTTAAGACACAACATTGAAAAAAACTTAAAGTCTGCACTGTCAACTTAAGAGACTACTACGCTAATATTTACATACACAATTATGTGCTTTTAACAAAAAAAAACATGAAAATCTACTGACAATGATAGGATTTTGCAAAGGAAGAACATGTATCAGTTTCTAGCTTGTTGTACTTAAAAGCAAAAATGGTTTTTGGATAAATCAACAAGACTATTCCTGAATAACCTCAGAGAACACTGCAGAAGAGGGGGCAAAAAGATTTTTAAACACCAGATGAATCAGGGAGTCTACTATGAGACTGTTTCTCCCTCCCAGTAATATAAGAAGCTATGCTCAAAACAATGACTGCCTACAAATGAGTTGAGTAAGAACAACAGACATATCAAGTTGACTGGGTAAAGCCCACAATATATCATACAAAAAGAAATACAAGTAACTAAAAAATGCTGAGTGAATAGTCTTTCTGATTCGCCCAGAAAATATATAAATGAATAAAAATGATAAAGACTGAGGAGGTTATATTTAGGAATATAAATTCACCAAATGAGGCCATGAATTTGAAAGACAAAAAGGAATGGTACACAGGAGGTAGGAAAAGAAAAGAACTGAAGAAATGATGCAATTAATACAATCTCAAAAATTAAAAAGTAAAATGAAAAATCACTGACCCCTTTAATATGTCCTCAAAATGTATTTTAAATAGTATCACTCTTTCTTTAAATTAAGTTTAAGAATACTTACTTGCTAGGGCAGTACAATAGTAAGTCAATGACAAATGATTGCCAGAACCTTTCTTTAGTAAGTGAATCCAAAGCCGTTGGAATTAAAGCAAAACATAATGTCATCACTTCCAAAGCTTCACAGCAAAGCTGTTCATCCTCCACTTCTGGGCTACTAATTGTACTGGTGGTCTGTAAAATTATAGTCATGAGAAAATTAATAAGGTCCATTTATAAAAACATAATCAAAGTTTTAGTTTGGTTCTCTATGTATAACATACAAGCTTTTACTTCTCACTTGTATCTACTGAAGTGTTGGTATATTTAATGTGTTGCTCTATTAAATGAAATTAAGCATAATCAGTGATATCCACTTATTCAATTTCTTTTTTCCAAAAAATGAAGTGATGTACTTTTGTGTCAATCATAACTCTTTTCAGAAAATTAGAACACTAAAGAGGGTTGTACATCCTACCCAGAATGCCATTTTCACTAAAAAAAAATATTGAGGAGACCACAAAGAGTTCTGAAACCTAAGATAAGTAGCAAAAAGTTTTTATTTGCTACTAACCACCAAAATGTATTCAATACAAAAATAAATTTATTTGAAAATAACATTTATTAAAAATTATCAGAAGTACCAATTGGGCAGGTAATTACAACCAGAGCAAAACAATTTCCAGAAACACACAATTTATTTACCAAGAGGCTAATTTGTTGATAACAGGCCTAGAGATAACATGTAAATAATGATAGAAACAATTAAGACAACATTTAAATGCTATATGACAATAAAAACCTCACATAATAGCCTAAATAATCAAGAGGCAGGGCTGTGGTGGTGCACGCCTTTAATGCCAGCACTCAGGAGGCAGAGGCAGGCGGATCTCTGTGAGTTTTGAGACCAGCCTGGTATACAAGATCTAGTTCCAGGACAGACTCCAAAAACTACAGAGAAATCCTGTCTTGAAAAACAAAAAAAACAAACAAACAACAACAACAAAAAAGGAAAAATAAAATAAACAAGTGACTTGGTTTTCAAATATAATATATATAACAGAGATTTAACTAAAGTGAAAATTATGCAGCATTCTTGTAGACCAAGCTGGCCTTGAACGCACAGAACCACCTGCCTGGGATGGGATTAAAGGCGTGTGCCACTAAAGCCTGGCTATGTAGTATTTCTTAAAAGGACTGTTGTTTTTGTTCTAATTCTTACCATCTCATAAGTTTTTGTGATATCTTCATTTAGACTAAATATTAGCTCTAATGATCCACATCCTGATGCCCAGACAATTTTTTGTATAGCTCTAATAGCATGTATGTCAGGTATATATCTCGAGGCCTGCAAAACAATGAGTACTAAGTATGTTAACCATAACAATAAAGTGAAATAACCAGAATAAAAAAATCTTTTCCATTGTCAAATCAGAAATGAGCTTCAAAACATCAAAATACATGATGGGCTACTTTAATGGTGATAGTAGTGTGGTCAACCCCAACTGATACATTTATAATATGATCCTTGTACCTAAGGCTCAGGAGAAATTAAAAATGAGGTAATCTAAAGAATTCTTAGTGCCAGAAAAACTAAATGGGGGTGTCTACTGTGAGATAGACTTTTATGGATGACAAAGAAGCTCCGCCCAAGAGACCTCAACAACAGTCGACAAAGAAAAAAAAGACAACACCAATTCACATGCCAATGTGGATGAGGGCAGTTCTCACAGACTTAATCCCTCGCAAACACGCTACAGGCGATAATAGTTTCTGAGTGGGGCAACCAGTATTTTGCATGAACGAGTGTCATTAGGTTAACCAAAACATTGGCAAAAATAATTTCAGCAAGTTGTACTGTATCAACACACACACACACACACACACACACACACACACACACACACACTTAAAGACTAAGAACCCATGAATTTGAGAAGGCATGAGGAAGAGACATAATAGGAATTAGAGAAAGTAGAAAAAAGGTGAATGATGCAAACATATTACTTATATTTGAAATTCCTATTTTTAAAACTTCAATACTTGAGGGAAGATCTCTGAGTTAGAAGCCAACCAGGTCTAAAGATCCAGTTTCAGTACAGCCAAGTTTAGACAGTGAAGGACAAAAGGCGGTGAAGATGTAATTGAATGAGAGGGCCATGTTCCATACCTAGCAAGCAGCAGAATTTGGTAGCCTTGCCAACATGGGGTCTGGCTTTAGATTTAAGGGTGGAAGAAATGGATTACAGAATTTATGTCTGTACTTAAAGAAAGCTGCTGAGGCCAGGCATGTGTCTAGGTTATGTCCCTGAATGGAGGGAGGCCCAGAGAGGCCATTTTGTGCAGCTGTGAAGTTGAAGCCTGAGTTGCCTTGGAGAACCCAATGTGTTAGAAATGCCAGAGCTGTGGAATACCTATTGAGTAAGGCTGCTAATAGGGAGTGAAACAAGCCCAAGAGAAAGTGTGTGTTGCAGTCAACAAAGCTGAGAAAGAGTTGGAGATCTGAAGAACATTTGACCACAGAAATGGAGATGCCAAGTTAGGAGTTGGCCTGGCTGGTTTTTGGCCATGCTTTGGCCAAGTATTTACTTACTATGCTTTCCTCCCTATGTTTGGAATGATAATGTATATCCTGTGCCATTATATGTTGGAAAGATGTGATCTGCTTTTTTTGGGGGCAGGGGGATTTTCAAGACAAGGTTTCTCTGTAGGTTTGGTGCCTGCCCTGGAACTAGCTCTTGTAAACCAGGCTGGCCTCGAACTCAGAGATCATCCTGCCTCTGCCTCCTGAGTACTGAGATTAAAGGTGAGATTAAAGCCACTGCCACCCAGCTGTGATCTGAATTTTGATTTTCATTTTGTGATTACTGTCAAGAGATTGCATGAATCTCAGAAGAGACTTTGAACTTTGGATTTTAAAACCTTGTCGAGACTGTGATAGAATATGAGGTGGTGTAGGAGTTCCTTCTGTTTGTGTGTAGCTTTCATTGGTTAATGAATAAAGAAACGGCCTTGGCCTAGTTGATAGGGCAGGACATAGAACTGAATCGTGGGAGGAAGAAGGTAGAGTCAGAGAAGCCATGGATCCTCTGCCTGTGATTAATGCCGGTTAGAATCTCGATTAAGCCACTGCCACTTGGCGATACACAGATTAATGGAGATGGGTTAAACTAATATGTAAGAGTTCTGAACGAGCATGTGATCAAACTGGATTCTCTGAATGTGCTGACAACGAGGGTAGACTGAGAAGCCAATGATAATGACACTGGATTTTGATTCTACAGCATATACTGGCTTTTTGGGAGCCTAGTCTGTTTGGATGCACATCTTACTATACCTGGATCGGGGGTGGCTTGGATTTCCCACAAGGCAGGATACCCTGACCTCTCTTAGGACTGGAGAGTGAGGAGGAGGGGGAGAGGGAGGAATGGGAGGGGAAAGGGAGGATAGGAGGTGGAAATGTTAAATAAATAAATTTAAAAAACTAAAAAAAAAGAGTTAGCCAATAAGAAGTTAGAGCTGATGGTCAAGCAGTGTTTTAACTAATACAGTTTCCGTGTGGTTATTTCAGGTATAAGCTAGCTGGGCAGCCCAAACAAACAAGGGACTCCCTCCATATAATGGGGACTTTTGAAATCAGTTTTGCATTATGATATTGTTACAAGCTTATGAGGGTCAGGAGTGGAATGTGGTAGTCTGAATGTAATTGGCCCCCATAATTTCAAAGGAAGTAGTACTGTTAGGAAGTATGGCTTTGTTGGAGTGCATATGACCTTTTTGAAGGAAGTGTGTCACTGTGGGTGTGGGCTCTGAGGCATCCTATGCTCGAGATAGTAGCCCAGTGTTTCAGTGGTCTTCCTATGGCCTGCATATCAAGATATAGTCGGCACTATGCCTGCATGCATGCTTCCATGTACCCCATAATGATAATGAACTGAACTTTTGAAACTATAAGTGAGGCTCCCCAATTAAATGTTTTCCTTATAAGAGTTAAAAAATAAAAATTCAATATTCTAAAACTAAATTATCCAGCTATTTAAGTTTAAGATGATTACAATGCTATGAGTACACATGATTACAGAAATATCACAAAAGAAACTTGGGAATAACAGAAATGTTATGTTTTTTGATGATATCAGAAAGTTAGATAACCACTAAAACTTTATTTCATGAATTACAAACTATATCTCAGCCAGGCAGTGGTGGTACATGGCTTTAATCCCAGTATTTGGGATGCAGAGGCAGCTGGACTGCTGTGATTTTTGAAGTCAGCCTGGACCACACAGAGAAACCCTGACTCAGAAAACAAAAACAAGTAAATGGGATCTCAAGATGCTTTACTTAAAATTTTACAAAATTAATCGATAAAATTATGAATATGAAATTTCAGATAAAAAAACAAGACAGAGGTAAAAGTGTTATATTTCAGAACACTTTGAAGTTGTTTAAGTTTTATTCATTTATGAGTATAAGGCCCTCCTCAATCCTAGTAATTTTAAAGTTTGATACTAACCACATCAGGTATTTGTTGAGCAAGACGGATTGATACATTTCTAAGCATGCATCCAGAAGAAGGATTAGGAATGCTCTGAAGGGCATTTTGTAGCACCACAGCTTGATCATGAATAACCTGGTTAATCTGGAAGAAAAAAATTCAAAAATTTGTATGTAATATTCCCAAATCAAGTATTCAACTATCACTTCTTAAGAATTCTATTTGCTAGAATTTAAGTTTACTTAAATAAAAGCATTTAAGTCTGTCAATATTATGCATTTCCTTTCTAAGTTGCCTGTCATTTTAATAAAAACCTCTATAAATTTCAATTTTAGATAAAACAAATATATTGTGCCTACATTTCAGTTTAATTACCATGGCAAGGTTTAAAAAGTACGACTCTGAACTAACATTTGACACATCTCTGGGCTGCCTCTTCTCACAGGCCTTCAGTTTTCAACAGATGGTTATGTCTATTTAGAGAAGGCTGAAGGTTAGCAGATAAAGTCCTTCAGGGTCAAAAACATGGTTCAATGTAATGTGCTTGCCGAAAAATAATAGTGTCTATAGATACCCAGGACCTACCTAAATCCTGGAAGATGTGGTAGCTTAGTCTACACAAAAAGCATACAGAAAATCCCCAGAAAGCCAGTTATACAGACTAGCTAAATGGCGATTGCTGAGTTCAAATGGCAGATCTGACCTCTACTTAAGGTGGAGTTGTTAACAAAAACACCGAATGTCAACCTCTAGCTTCCACACGAATACCCACATATATACATATAAACATGAATATACATGTGTTACACATACACACTGTAAAAATCCTTTGATTCCTGAAATCTGTATACTTTTACCTATTGTGATAATTAACTTTGTTTATAACATTTCTTATATTCATGACTACGTGTACTCTTGTAATCATAACTACTAAGAAACAAAATTTCTCAAAGTCTAACGCTCTATAAATATTACTCTCACTGTAAAATTTTTCTAAAAGTCATATTGCTATTTTTTTGCTGTTATTTTACAGACAGGGTCTGGCTGTTTGTCCCAGGCTGGCCTTGAATTCCTGATATAGCCCAAGGTGGGTTTGGACTTGTAATTTTCCTGCCTGAGGTTCCCAAGAGCTGCCATTACAGGCATATGAATATATGTGCTAAGAATATTTTAATAACTGTCTTAAATAAATTTAGAGTGTGTACATACTGTACTAATAAAGTAGGCAAAACAAATACAAAAGTCTAGTACTCACAAATTTCTTTAACTAGAGAACCTAAAAATATTTTACATATACAAAGTTCCATACACAGTAAAGTAGTTTTGATACTTCAGCCTATTTATGAGGATCTGTTGTATTAAAAATCCATCCGGTACAGATTTTAAAGTATAGCATATTTCATTGAAAATCTTAGCTCATTTCTACTACAGCAGAAAATAGGAACTTCCAACCATTCAAGGTTGTCTGAACGTCTTAGTGAGATACACAAGATGACTGACACTCAAAAACTTACCGAACCAAAAAAAAAAAAAAAAAGAAAACCAAACCAAAAAACCCCTAGTTTTGAAACTCAAAAAGAAACTAACTAGTACATAAATGTTTTACTTAAAAATTAAAATTTAGGGAAAAAATCATTTACTTTTTTATCTATCAATAATCTTCTATTCATCTGTCTATTGCAAACCAAGCAAGTGGTTTGGCAATAAGTAAATAATTACAAACCTGTCATTGCTTTTAGCTCTCTAATTGAACACAGTGTGATTGTAGGTTGGTAATTCCTCAGTCTTTGTTGTATAATTATTTATTTTAAATTATATCAATGTATGTATGTGTGTATGTTGGGAGAGCAGAAAGGTAAGTCGTTTCTTTTCACCCAATCTCTGAGGAGACTGAACTTGGGTCCTTATAAGCTTTGGCAAAAAAAAATACCTGTACTTGCAGAGCCATCTTTACCAGCCTGTGGTATAATTTTCAATATACAACAAGAAAAAGATATAATAAAATTGTATCTTGTAAAGATACACAGAACTGCCTTTATGGATCTTTAAATATCCTGTGTCTAAAATTATGAAAAACAAAAAAAAGCTACATTTTATTTGGGTAAAAATATATATGAACTTCAAAATTAAAGAATTTAACCTTACAACGGAAAAAGTCTTAATTAATGTTTAGTATATATGAAAGTATAATTCACACTGGTTTTACTTTTTAAAGAGAAACTGTTTCAAAATATATAAATCCACATGAACATGTTACCATAAATCCATAAACATGTTACCTATTAGTATTTTCAGTGATTACTGGTATGAATCTTATTTCATGAATGCTCTGACAATTTTGCTAATACTGTCCCAGAAATATCATTCTGAAGCCTATCACAGCTGTTATTTTATTTGCCTTATTTTGAATAAAATGACATTTTATGTTGAAATAAATTAGAGTAAAATTTCAAGTATTAGACTTCTACTTATTGCTCAAACTTCTCTGATTAACATTTTTCACATATATAGGGATATTTCTAAACATGTTTAAAAATGATATCTACTTTATTTCTAATCATTAATACATTAGTAATTTACAATTTAAGTGCATGAGCTCAATTTTAACTTCAGCTCAACGTTTACAACAGATCTAAAATGTTTGTATATTTAAATCTTTTAATAAGATTTATTTTTAGACTTAATTGAGGTATGTGTTTAAAAAGTTAGGTTTCGGGTTACTTGAAACTTTAAATAAGTAAAAAATGAGAAGCAGAGAAACAAGAAATATGACATACTACTATTTGGACTTTTAGTATAAAGAACTAAATAGACGAAAATCTTTATTATACCTAGTCAGTGAATTTATCTTCAAGAATTAAAGACGTAGGATAAATAACATATTATTTGTTAAAATATATTACCGGTGTTTTAGGATCTGTACCATCTGCAACAGGCTGGCAAGATTCTGCTATAGCCTGGACATGGCCATAGCCAACTGTAGTTAATAATAGTTTGGCTATTTTAAGGGCACTGAAGTAAGCATCTCTACGAGTTTCAACATCTGTATTTGGCAAGAAGTTATTTTCTATCAGCATTCTCAGTACAAGGTGTAAGCCACCACTTTTCAAGAAGTGAAACTGAAAATCCAAGGAAATCTCAGCAAGAGCGGCACCAGCAGGCATTAACAAGGTATAAATTACCTACAGGAAGGGAGGAAAAAGTATTACAAGTTATATATTTTTAAAAATTTAGTGACATTTATTTCTTCTCACATTTGCACTTGATTAAAATGTTGCTTTACAATCTTAGGTGTCCTCTTAATTTCATAACAGTCTACAAAATATTTTTTCGCAAAGAAAAACAAACCTCTGTTAAGTATAGAACTTGGGAGGCAGAAGAACCAAAGAAAAGCGAGTCAAGAGACTGACCAAATTGGTTTTCTCTAAGATTCGAATGTTTTGAACACACAGCTCTCAATTTTTCTATAGTTGTGCTATCTGTAAAAAAAAAAGGGACAAAATGCAATTCATAAATTCCTGATACTTTATGTTGGATTGTTATACTTTTATTTAACATAAAACAAAATATTTAGATTTAATTTTATGTGTATGCTTTGCCTACATGTACTAAAGGGCACTGCATCTGTGCTTGGTATTCAGGAGTCCAGAAGAGAACATCATCTCGCACTTACCCTGCAAGAGCTATAGATACTAAAAGCCACCATGTAGGTACTCAGACCTGAACCCAGGCCCTCTGCAAGCACATATGTTTGATAGTTGCACATAACAGTGTGTAATATAACAAATGATTACTAACGTGAGGTATAAAATCAAATGTTATATCAAATATGTAGGAAAGTTTTTATAAACAGACCTCTAATCAACCGATTCTTATTCATCCACCACTGAGATGAATTGTGCTTGTGCATTGTGCTTGTGGATCAGATGTAAGCTCGCAGGCACTACATCAGTGCTACATCTGCCTGTCTGTTGCCATGTACACAAACCAAAATGATCATGGACACACCTCTGAACCTACAAGCAAGCTCCTAATCACGTGTTTTCTTATCTAATCTTCTTACAGAAACAGAACAGTAACTAAGACAAATGTTATATACAACTTAACATGAATCTTCATCACTAAAGAAAGGACTTTATGTCACTGAACATTAATCAAGCCAGTATCCAGAAGGTTCACCACATACTAACTAATAAACATGGTATCGGAAGATACTCATCAGCATAACCCAGTTAAACACCCTATGACTTACAATATGTGCAATAGTAGCACTATGTTATAAGACTAACTAATCACCATGAGATGGAACCCATATCTGATATAGCTCAAATGGACAAGAACATGAGACTAGATAGACTAGATAAAAAAAAAACTAACATTATTGTGCTAGAGGGAACTTATTAATAAGATGACTACTAAAACTGGTATATTCATAGGTCAGTGTCTTGATCAACCCTGGTTAAAGGAGATTCTTTTTGCAGTAGATGGGAATTAACAACGACATCCACCATTGGACAATGCAGAAAAATTTTGAGCCAAAGGTGATAAACAACTCCAATGAAGCACTGTTTTGCAGATATACTTTAACTGGCACAGACAGAAACTCTCAGAGTGTGGCAGCATGTACAAGACCTGCACAAATTCAAGCCAGATGGGGTCCAACACCTAAAACCAAGATGCTATTTGGAATGGATGTCAGTTGACTTTAAGTTGCCTGCCAAACCTTGACCCCTCCCTGGAGGAGTGTCAAGGTAGCCCGCCAAAACCTTGACCCCTCCCCTGAGGAGGGTCAAGGTTGCTTGCCAAGCCTTTGCCCATCCCCAGAGGAGTGTGAAGGCAACCCGCCAAACCTCCCAGTCTATTTAAACTGCTCCACAGAGAGTCCCTCTGTGGTGTCACCCCTCTCCCCCGTGACTCCCATGGTTGAACTGGTGGCTTCCCAGTTCCTCTAGGGACACCTGAGAGAGCAGAAATCCCATTAAACCTGGATATCCTTTACTTTGGCTTGATTGGGATTTTTGCACTGGCAGAGAGCTGGCATTAGGAAATATTCTTAACAATGACAAAGAAAAAAATCATTTTCTTCAATGGAATATAATCAAATATATCTACCATGCACCAATGTAGAAGAAGATGGCCAGTATTAGTTGGCAAATACAAAATAAATTCCACTCATTTACAGTTTGTGGAGCCACAAACTGGTCCAGCCTCTCTGGAAATCACTGTCGTAAATTCTCAAAAAGTTAGAAATAAATCAACTATATGACCCAGATTTACCATTCCTTGGTATATGCCCAAAGGAAGTAACAACCTACTCTACAAATGCTTGCTCAGCCCTGTTACTGCTGCTCTATTCACAACTAGAAAATGGAAACACATGAGTGCCTTGCAACTGATTAAAGGAGAACAACTGTGGTACATTATATACCATGGAACAGTATTTATATAGAAAAATAAAATCTTTAAAACTGTGCGGTTCCCAGCCCCAAAAAGGAAATTTATGTTTGCAAACGATGGAGACCACTATAGAAAATTACAAGTAAAAATGCAGAGATGTAAAGACAGTTTCCAAAAATACATTTACAACACTACTTCAAACCTAAGGCTAAGGACAATTGTAGAAAAGGAGCCAGAGGAATAGCATATTTGTTGCGAGTCTTCTTCTTCCAGGAATACTCAAAGTCTCGCCATAATAACTCCCTAAATATGAGCTAAACAAGGAAAATACTAAAGACATATCAAAGAACATAGGGGAAAGCCCATGAGTCCTCGCTCATACACAAAGAACTAAAGTAAACTAAGGAAGGCTGAGAATGGAGAAATACACAATCCACACTTGAGTATTTTGCTTCACCAGTGAGACTATCTTAGAGGAAACTAAATTTTCATATGGAAGTGGTTATCAGTTTGGTGATCTCTCTTCTTAATCTTTTCAGTTTTATAAATATGTTCCTAAAAAATTAAATTAACCGCTGTAGGCTGTAGAAGGAGCAGCGGGGTGCTTCCTATCACCCGGCTAGCTTTACCCGAAATAATTACACCGAAACTGTATTCTTTTAAACACTGCTTGGCCCATTAGTTCTAGCCTCTTATTGACTAACTCTCACATCTTAATTAACCAATTTCTAATAATCTGTGTAGCACCACGAGCTGGTGGCTTACCAGGGAGATTCTTAACCTGTGTCTGCCTCCGAGAGGAGAATCATGACGACTGCCTGACTAGGCTTCTTTCTCCCAACATTCTGTTCTGTCTACTCCGTCTACCTAATTTTCTGTCCTATCAGGGCCAAGGCAGTTTCTTTATTAATTAACCAATGAAAGCAACACATAGAAAGCAACACCTACATCAGTAGGCCTAAAAAACTTAATATACTGTCTTAGGTTGGCTTCTAACTCAAAAGAGTCAACTGCTTTTGTGCCCCCAGTGCTTCCTTCCCCAAGGAAGAACAAAGTATTTCATTATCCAACACCAGTAAAAATCAGTCTGGAAAACAAGCATACAAGTAACATTATAGAGATTGAGCAGGTTATATTTAGGAATATGTACAAAAGCTCCCCATCCCTACCCCCCCCGAAACTCACACATATGTATGTAGCAATTTAAAAAAAACAAAAGGCCAAGAATTTGAAAGAGATCAAGGTGGCTTGTTTGGGAACTTATGGGTCAAAGAAATGAAATGAAGAAATAATGTAATTATAATCTCAAAATAAAAGAGAAATCTATCTTAAAAGAATAAATGTTTAGAAAGAAAAAGAGGCAACAGTATATGCAACAATAAGAGCTAAAGTTTGAAAGTTGTTTTCCTTTGAGATAATAACGGAAGGTAATAAGTCATTCATCTTGGGTCTACGAACAGCCTGTAATTCCTAAACTAGCGAAAATATTTTACAAAATAGTAGATATAAAATGATAGGGTCCCAAATCATTTTTCAACCCAATGAACTATTCAAGAACAATTATGTAGAAACACATATGTAACACTACACACAATACAAATTAATAGAGTTTGATATTTTCCTTTTTATCTATTAGTTATTTGGTAGTCATGAATATCACTGGATGGATTGATTACTTATGTGGTGGCATAAGTTTCATAAGTACTCTTACTGACTGGATTGTTTACTTACCTGGTGGCATAAGTTTCATGAGTATTCTGGCTCCATCTCTAAGAGCTGGCTTATTCAACGCACTACCTAAGTCTGCAACTTGCCAAAGGAAAGATATATATCTGGGCTGCAGTGACATTATCTAGAAAATGGAACAAATAAAATATATAGCTGGATAAATCAGACACTATAAGGCTTTTATTAACAAGTTAACTACTAAGTGTCCTTAAAACTTATATTTGCACCTAGTACATATCTTACTGAAACAATCTCTTAACAATCAAGCAGAAGGAAATGAACCCGAGGAAAGGCTCGAGAAAGAGATACAGACACAGAGTCCCATTCATTCATAAAGGAATCCTATAAAAATGAAAAACAAGAATCAATTATCTATACACAAAAAGACATGCAGGGTAAATAAAAACAAAAAAGAAAAAAAATACTTTAAAAAGGATAATATTAAAAAAACCAAATCATCATCATCATCATCATCATCAACAACAATAACCAAAAATAAAACAAACAACAACAACAACAAAACACAAAAGAAAAAAGCCCTGACACAATACTGTAGGAAAAGGAACTTCCTAAGATGATGCTGAACTGGTTTTCTGTTTGTCTTTTAACACTGGGCATGTCATCCACCCATAAGAGTTTTCTTCACTTTCCTAGCGGAAACTAAATTTTCATTTGAAAGTGGTTACTCAGTTTGAGGATGTTCTTCCTTAATCTTTTCAGTTTTATAAATCTGGTTCTTAAAAAAATTTAGTTAGCCCTTTTAGGCCTAAAAAACATAATGTGTTGACTACAATGGCCTCTAACTCAAAGGCATAACATTCTTTGTCCTCCCAGTACTTGAGTTAAAAGGTGTTGTACAAAGCTCAGTCATTATCCTCTGGTTGTTTATAATACAAAAAGTATGCTTCATTCACAGTGTTTTCAAATAGTAATTTTTCTATGATAATCTATTATTCGTAAATTATTGTATCTTATGCCACTCTAATGCAAAGGAAATTTTGCTTACTGTGGAGGTTTCAATCAGAATATTCCCTACAGACTTAAATATGTCATTATAAGAGGTGTGACTTTTTTTTTTTACAACGATGTGTTACTGAGGACCGACACCAAGGTTTCCCAACTCTATTCATTCCCAGTGAGCCCTTGTGCCTGAGTTGTGCCTCAAGATGTGTGCTATAGTAACACGCTTGCCACAACAACTGTCATGTATCCTCTGAGATGTACGTCTCAAATAAACTCTGCAAGTTGCTTTGATCATGGGTGCTTTTGACACGGAGGCAGAAGAGTAACTAAAATACATTCATATGTTCAACAGGAGTACAAACAACAACCAAGTTGGTAGAAAAATTAGAGATACTAATTTTTAAAAAAAGGATGAAAAGAGCTAATTTAAAAGCAGGGCACATTTCTTTTGTCATAACTAAGTAATTATTTACAACCTTAGTAAAACATATTTACAGCTAAGATTTAATTTGAGCATGTATTTTGTTCTTTGAAACAGTACTAATTCAAAGACTAAAAATATTGTTACATACTTCGAGACTTAATTATGTGCATATGTGTGTGCATACGTATTCTTGAGAATGCACTGACTAAAAAGACCTGCAGAAGGTATTACAACTAAATTATAATCATTAATTTCTAGAATTAATTAAAAGTTATCAACTTTATAATCTTTAATTTTTTTCACCTACATGTAAAACTTTAAACTTCGAAACAGGAATATTTTATATCATCTCCCTAAAAGAAAATTTCCTCTTTATATAGTAATTACTTACCACACTAGGTAAACAACTTTCCATCTCTAGAATGAGAACATCACTGTAGTTACGACAGTAGATTCCAGGAGATCCAGTAGAAGAATCAGATGAGCTATCAGGACTTGAAGGCATGTTGGAATTTATTTGTATAAGCTTGGCAGTAATTACCTGAAAATAATAATATATTCAATAATGAAGATGATTTTTTTGTACAAAATACAGAACCAAGAAATAAAAAAGGCTATTCTTTCAAGATTATTTTTGAGAGCACATTAAAAAATTATTATAATATGAACTTTTCCTATGCTTGGAAGACTGTCTGCAGAATACTGTTATATATTAAATTCCATAAATCGTAAAGTCATCTATCATCAGTATACCTTTTGGAAAGTCTATAATATCTTTAGATTATTTATATAACAGAATGCAATGCAAATGATATATAAAATTTATAAATATATAGTTTGGTGGACCGTGAAAAGAAGAACATCTGCAAATGATCAGTAGGTATGAAATTATTTTCTTGTATGTAATTCTTGGACCTATCAGGAAGATCATAGTTTATTTCCTTTATCTAAAGTCCTCTGACATCTCTCCTTTTATATTGAATTTAATTACTTTTTGAGAAATAACCTCACTCTGTAGGTCTGACAGGCCTGTAATTTAGTATATAAACCAGGCTAGCATAAATAGAGATCCACTCGGTAAGCAGATTAACCTCAGTCTACCACATGATGGAATTAAAGTGTGCAATATCACATTAGTAGCTACCTGGTTATTTATAAGATAACTTGATGTGGGATTTTCCTCTGTATGCCACAAATACGTTTTATTACCATTGGTTAATAAAGAAGCTGCTTTGGCCTGTGGCAGGGCAGAAAAAAAGCTATGCAGAAAGACTAAACTGAAGGCTGGGAGAAAGAAGCCCAAGTGAGAGATGACAAGAAGCTGTCGAAGGAGACAGACACTGGAACCTTACAGGTTAACCTCAAGCCTCATGGCAATACATAAAATAATAGAAATGGGTTAATTTAAGATGTAAAAGTTAGCTAATAAAAAAGCTGAGCTAATAAACCAAGCAATGCTTTAATTCATATAGTTCCTGTGCTAATATTCGGGTCTAAGCAGCCAGGAAATGAACAAGCAGTCTCCGTCTACACTATTGCCACAAAACATGCACACTATTATTCAATAAACTTGACCAATAATAAGTGGCACAAATACTGAAATTAGGGAAATATTTGAGAATTATATTTACTTACTGATTTATCTTTCAAATTTAATTGTTCAACTAGTTTTCTGTCATCTTCCGGCTCTATCAACTCACCACCTACAAACAGCTCAATTTTTGTATGGGCTACATTGGCATTAATACGACTGAGAATGCAGCGTCGCACAGAACCGATGGTATCATTTGTATGAGACAATATGTCTATATCATCAACTTGTCTCCCTTGTTTTGGGAAGCGAACTATAAGAGACAAGTGTTTCCCACGAAATGCCCTGGGGAGAAAAACATTAAATTAAAAACTGAAAAAGAGTCTCAGAAATATTAAACAAATAGTTAAAAATAGGAAGATATGAATTTGTTCCTTATTTAAAAAGTAGTAGTTAACTTATTTTAAGTTTATTGTGAGAAATATTATGACTTTTGAATTACAAAGTATCTTGATTAGTTAATCAACTAGCATTTTCATGGTAACAAAAGTCTCCTAACTGTGGTGAGGCATAATCACAAAACACCTCAAAAAGCTTAATTTATTAAAACTATATTTAATTCTTTTGAGGTGTTAACGATTTTTAAAAAATAGTTGGTTTTTGTATGAAAAAAAAGCAAGAAGAGAATGTCAGATCATCTTCCACTAGAGATACTAGAGTTACAAATGATTGTTGAGTTGTCATGTTATGCTAAAAATTGAATCTCTTGAAAAACAAGTGACCTTAACAACTGAGTCTTTTCTCAAAAATCTACATTAAGACTATTTCAGCTGAAAGTATGTTTTGGCAAAAATATTTACAAGTATGAGTGTTAAAAGTGTAGTTTCATATACACATACATGCATTATATGTAGGTTATGTAAGTGTATGCACAGTATGTGATTTTTAAAAATATTTTCATATTGCCGGGCGGTGGTGGCACATGCCTTTAATCCCAGCACTCGGGAGGCAGAGGCAGGCGGAACTCTGTGAGTTCGAGGCCAGCCTGGTCTACAAGAGCTAGTTCCAGGACAGGCTCCAAAACCACAGAGAAACCCTGTCTCGAAAAATCAAAAAAAAATTCATATATAGAATGAGCTATTTTAGAGATGTAATTGAATTCTAATCAAAATTCACTTAGTTTCCTTCACATTTTAAAACATTTATTTAAAACGATACGTGTATGGGTATTCTGTGTGCATGCATGTATGTCCGTGCACCATGTGTCTCTGTTACCTGTAGAGGATAGATGAGGGTACTAGATGCCCTGAATATGTAATTATGAAGAATGTCAGTTATCTTAAAAAGGATGAGTATTGAACCTAGAACCTTGGAAGAGCAGTTAGTGTTCTCAACTCCTTAAATAACTTCTCAGTCTCTAAATTTCACACACTTTACATTAACCATATGCAAATAGGTTACTCAAGCCTAAAGGTAACATTAGTGAGTGTGTGCAATCACAATTAATAATAATAACAAAAATAAATTTGTTAAGAAGCAACAAAATAATTTGTTCGTTGGGAGTCCTAAAAAAGTAGAGACACTAACATAAAGAGTTTTCTTTTCGTAGTATCATGTACATGAATTCAAAATTTGAAAAAAACTTGTATCTCAATTTGTGAAGGCAACCTTCTAAAATATATATTTCAATTCAATGGTTTTTAAACTACCAGAACTTGATCAAAAGCTTGACAAATTATCACATATCCTGTCATCATAAGTAAGATCTAAGAAAAATAAATACTATTCAGAATGAAAATCTTTTATTTATAGGCGATAAACACCTTACACTTAGAAATGGCAACCAGCTTCCTTAATTTTAAATCTGAGACAACTAAAACTATATATTATAGATTATTTTATGACATTTATGATTATTAAAATATGACAAACACTGAAGTCTGAATAAGCATTTTTAAGATTAGACTTTTAAACTCAATCCAGTGAAGAAGGTAGATTAATTACCTAAAGGACCCTTCGCTCACTTCCTCCAAATATAATCCATCATCCCTCTAATAATCCCCATCTTCAGCTCATACAAAAACAGATCTCCAGCATCTTTCACAACAGCCTTGTGAACATAAAATATTCTAGGGTAGCACTTAACCAAGCAAGTAAAAATTTGTATGATAAAAACTTAAAAGACATTGAAGAAAGAAACTGAAAAAGATATCAGGAGATGGAAAGATCTCTCATGTGCATGGATCCAGAAGATAACAGTGTAAAAAGCAATCTACAGATTTAATGTAATCCCATCAAAATTCCAAAATAATTCTTCACAAATATGGAAAAGATAATCCTCAAAAGGAAACATAAAAATCCCAGGAAGTTATGATAATTCTGAGTAATAAAAGAACTGCCAAGAGAGAGGACCAAAAAGTGAGTAATCACTCACACACAGCTGGACATCCCACTCTGTAAGCCTTCAGTACCTCAATAAAACCCCTGGCCCTGCTCCTGGCCTGGGAAGGAGAAATAAACAAGATCTGAGAAAACTGAAAGCATGGGGATGGGAGAAAAAGTGGAAGGCAGAAGGGAAGGAGGAGAGAAAGGGAATGGGAAGAAGATTTTGAGGGAACTGAATAGTCAAGATGGGGGAAGGAAAGAGACAGAGGGCAAGGTAAGAGATATCTTAATTGAGGGAGTCATTATGGGGATAGCAAGAAAACTAGCACTAGATTCCAGGATCCACAAGAATGATCCCAGGTAAGACCCTGTGCATTATTGAAGAGGGTGCCTGAACTGGCCTTGCCTTGTAGTCAGATTAATGATGATCTTAAATGTCATAAATGTCACCATAGAACTTCCATCCAGCAACTGATGGGAGCAGATGAGGAGAACCACAGCAGAGCACTGGGCTGAGCTCCCAAAGTCCAGCTGAAGAGCAGAAGGAGTGTGAATATGAGCAAAAAGGTCAAGACCATGAGTGGAATAACCAGTGAAACTGCTTACCTAACTTAATGAGAGCTCACCCACTCTGCTCAGAACAGGGAAGGCACCAGCATACAACAAAACTAGGCCTTCAGAATGTGGGTGACTGTTTTATGGATGGGGCAGACTGTAGGATCAGTGACAGTGGGACCAGAATTTATCCCTATTGTTTGAACTGGTTGTTTGGAACCCATTCTCATAGGAGGGAGACCTTTTTCAATCTAGATACAGTAGTGGAATTCCTATGTTCTTCCTCAAAACAATGCGTCTTACCCTCTCTGAAAAGTGGAAACTTGGATTGTTAGGTAAAATGAAAAAAAAGACAGCTTTTTATTTAGTAAAATAAGAAAGAACTGCCTGAGCTATCACCATCCCAGATTAAGTTTATTACAGACTTATAAGTAATAAAAAATGAAAAGGCATTTGCACGAAACATATACGTTGACCAGTGGATCAAACCGAAGGCCAACATGAGAATGAAAAAACCCACAGACACCTGATTTTTAATAAAGAAGCTAGAAACATACACTAGAAAAAAAACCAAACAAACTGTACCTTCAACAAAGAGTGCTGATGGAACTGAATGGCTGCATGCAAAAGAATGCAAATAGATCCATACATAACACCATGAACAAAACTCAAACTTCAAAAAGATGAAAGATTAAACTGTATTCCCTGAACCTCAAAGAAGAGAAAATGGGGGTATAGCCTTGAACTCATGGCACACAAAAAAAGGCTTCCTGAACAGAAAGAACACTGTTAACGCAGACTCTTGAGATCAACAATTAATAAATGGGACCTCTGAAGCTGAGAAGCTTCTACACAGCCAGGGGCACTGTCATTTGATCAAAGAGGCAGCCTATATAATGTGAAAAGCTTTTATCCACAAGTATCTCCTAGGAAAAAGAGGTGGGAAGTGTTAAGAGTCAGAGGGGAAGGAGGACACCAGAACAAGGACCTCTAAATCAACATGATCAAAGTTCAAATGAACTCAAGAGTGGAGCAGCATTTTACAGGGCCTGCGGTGGTGTGCACTATGTCCTTTACATTATTTTGTGGGATTAACAAGTAAGAGTATGTATGAATCTGTCTCTGCTTCTTTTATCTTCCTGGGTTAGTTTCCTTCTGTTTCTTTTGTTCAATCCTGATGTGTTGGTTTTGTTTAGTTTATCATAATGTATTGTATTATTATCTTTTAGAGACCTCTTTCTTTCTTAATGAATCGCGATGGATTGTGAGGTGCAGAACCTAGAGCAGAGGTAGGAAACACTCATATCAGAATATATTATGTGAAAAAAAATATTTTCAATAAAAGGATAAAAACAGAAGAGACTTTTGACAATATAATATCCCATCAAATGAAGGTCCCATGATTGTAGTCAACGCACTCTGGAATCAGTTTATAGCTGGCCTTAACTACATTATAGAGTTAAAGACTAGCCAAGCAAACAGCAGTCTGTATCACAAAAACATGGGGGAGTAGTGAGGAATGAACTTCAAAATAGATTAACTGTTACACTTAACAGGTAGTAACAACTTGGAAAAACAAAATAAAAAAATTCTAGTTAAGGGATGAGTGTTTTATTAGACTATAACTAGATATAAAATATTTCCTCAAAGTTCACACTTTTAAAAAAGTAAAATACATTAAAATGTAAATGGCATTCACATTTTGCTAAATAATACTGTAAGAAAATATTAGTTGCAAGTTACTCTTAGATCAAGTTTACAAACCTTGACAAAGGAAGAATAATTCGTTCCCCATGATAATCACTGTCACATTCACTTATGTACTCTCTTAAAACCGTTAGTACACGAACCATCTGAATGGCTTCCTGTCTTGTACAACTAATAGTGTCTTTTTCACTATCCAAAACACACAACATGCCATATGAGGCTTTCAAGCGATCAAAGCATGTCTGAATAAAATCTTCATGGATAGCTACCTGCAAATGTGTCAAACAGAAAACAATACAATAGTTGCTTGTAAAAAAAAAATCACCAAACATGACAACAAAAAGCAAAAAAAATTACTTAAAAGCAATTCTCAATTACAATTATAACTAATCACAATAAATACAAGTTGTTTTTTTTTAAAAAGCCTTAATATGAAACAAAGTAGGGAACACATTAATATTCTCATTAAAAAACTGAATCTTTCTTTCACACTCACACTGAGAAACATGCATGTATACATATACACACACAGAAAAAAGCACAAAAATAAAATGTATAGTTAAAAATAATAATAAAAAAATAAGCTAGGGTTTCTTCATATGACTACAGTCCCGGGATCCAGAAGGCTGAGAAAAGAGGAATACCATGAATTCAGTAATTCCAGACCAGTCTGGGCTACATACATTATGTGAATCTTTCTCTCACTAAAGCAATTCCCCAAAACAAAAACAAAATAAAAAAGCAACAAAAACAACCGTAGAAATATGTCTTTAGTTAATATTGTACAAATAAAATAACCAATTCCTAATTCATTTTAAGTTTAAAATGGTATTATTACTAATGCTATTTTAATCTGTGAAGTTCTTTCAGTACTTCAATCCTTACCTTATTTGCCAGTAATCTGGGACCAAGATTTGTGTGTATTTCTTTTAGAAGATCTATTGCTCTGTTCGAAATATTGTCATTACTCTTTATCACAACCTAATTTTTAAAATAATAAAATAAATACCATTGAAGATGTAACTTGCCATTTAGAATATTCTCCTTTCCAATAAATAAAAGCTTACATTAATGTGATATAAATTCAAGTTTAAAAAAGGAAATAACACAAAAGATTTTCAGATGAAACAATTAGAAAAATTACAATAGTATTATACTGGCAATTTTGTTGCTGAACTAAGACGTTTCAAGTTATCAATAAGTCACTACAGAAAACTCACTCCCAGAATTTCTGATATTATTTATTAAAAATGACTTTATTAAAATATACTGTAGATTCCCTGGCTTAAGAGATTTTTTTTCATGAATTATAAATAAAAATTGGAAAAGGAAAGGAGCAAAAACATGTTCTGATTTTCTTTCCTCACTTTCTTTTCCTTTTTATCATTAGGTTCCATTTGCAGATTGCAGTCAGAAGAAAATTTAAACAATTAACCCGAATGTATGAACGATCCTTAAAAACATGACTATATTTAAAATTTGCTTAAGAAATGAGTGATTAAATCCCCAATGAAACTAAGCTACAATAAGAGAGTCTAAGACTGAAATAAATACACTATATCAAAATTGCAAAGTCAGCATTAGAGCATAAAACATTTTTCAGATACTTACTATTGATTTCAAGTGAAACAATTTATATAAAGGTTTTATTATTCACATTTCCTATTAAATCATTTTTCTGCTCTATCATTAATTATGGTACTTAAATATGTATCCATCTTATATAAAAACCGGAGAGACTAACTTTCATGGATGACAACAGGCAAAATATGTTTGCGAGGAAAGTTACATTTACATGAAACCTTTGAAAAGAATATATTTAATGTGAATGCCAAAGAATTACCTGTGTCAGACATAAACTAAGTCCTTTAATTTCTAGGACATATATCCAATCCGTATAAATATACAGAAGAAAATCTATAAAAACATCTGCAATTGTAAAAAACTACTTTAGATACTTTTGCCATAATTTCTCCTCTTTTACTTACCTCCCAAAGGTTATCTAATCCTATTAGGTCTAAATCATCCATCATATAGACTCTTCTTTTTATCATTAATTTCCCTTCTTGACAATTGACAGCCTTGAAAAATCTTTCAAAACACGTTATTCCACTTTCGGTTAATAGAGTCGGATCAAGTTGAAGCACATTACTTTCAAAAAAATCCTGAATAATATCAGGATCTAGGTCTGGATCGTCGCCCATTAACGTGGAAAACCACATAAAACAGGCTTCTCGATCACTAAAGAAAACTGCATTCTCTGCTAAGCTGTTCCATATTTGTTTGGCTTGGAGAGCATAGAGCCAAAGTTGACCATCCTTCAGTAAAAATCTTGAAAAACACATAAGAAACTAATTAGGTTCAAAATGATTTTATTCTCATCAGTACACTGTTTTGACACACAGAACACATAGTAAAATATCTTGAAGACCATACATTCTTTAAAAGTAATACATCTAAACTTACATTCTATTTTTTTCCACATATTTAATGAACGCAACCAGAAACTTTACCTATCTACATGACTCAAAAAGACTTTTGCTTTATTTTAAAATATTACAGCTTTTGAAACAAGTTAGATACCTAAACTGATGTAGGTTTGAGTTTAACAACAAATAGTTCTTATGACTTAAATCGGCTTTAACGCATGACAGTCAGGGTGCACCTTTAATCCCAGCACTTGCGAGGCAGAGGCAGGCGGATCTCTGTGAGTATGAGGACAGCCTGGTCTACAGAAGGAGTTCCAGGACAGCCATGGTTACACAAAGAAACTGTGTCAGAAGAAAAAAATTAAAGCTATTTTAGCAATCTTTACATTGTTGAAATTCTTTAGCCACTACTCAGTCATATTAAACAAAATTATTTACCTATAATTTTAATTTATTTCTATGATTATCCTTTTATGCTCAAAATTTAATTAGCCGAGAAGAACATTTTTAGTTTCAAGACTAAAAAATAATGATAATCATTATTTTAAAAGTTTACTAAACACTTCCTTAAATTCTTAACCTATTCTGAGTATTTCTCAATGAGTATTACATTTTCTTAAAAATCAAAATAAGCAACACCTGCCTTACAAAGTTGCTATGATGACACATCAATAAAAGGCATTAACTCTTAGTTTATTTTCTTTTGAATTAATTATACTGTTAACAGTTTATAGAGCTGCCACAAAGGAATGTCTTTTGATTCTTAACTTTATAGAGCTGATATTTTTAATTCATTTTTCTGATGCTTAGTACCTTACTAAAAGGTAGTGTTCATATACTTTCTATGTATAGACAGAAAAGCAAACACTTTTAATAAAGTCAAAGTAAACCTAATAAGTGTTTTTTTAGCATTATTCAAAATAGGGCCTTACCATGTCATTTTAAAATATTTTAAAACAATAAACCAATTTCCCACACATACGAAATCAGATGTATTCTGATATTTAAAATTTAAATCAAAATTTAAACCTGTTTTTTAATTTTAAAATGTTAAGCTAAATTACCACAAACAATCTTATGAACATTTATGGCATAGGGAGGAGGATCAATAGGTAAAGCATTTTGTGTACAAACATCAGGGTCTATGTGTGGACCAAAAGTTAAATGTAATGATTCAGGCCTGTAACACTGTTAGTGGGGGAACAGACACAGACAGATCTCAGATAAAAAAGAAATGTTTAGTAAAAACCCTAAGAAAAACAAAAAGCAAAAAGGTCAGAGTAATGGAGAAGGCTTACTGGACTCTATCATAGGCACATATATACTACATATTAAAAAGTACTTAATAATAATGACTATAAAGCAAAATGATATGCAAACTTTGAAAATGTCCTTTTGGGGGGACAATATCTTGCTATGGTAGCCAGCTAGTCACCTAATGAAGATTTAGCAAATTGAAATCTTTTATCTGTGCATTAACGAGAACAGCAGTATTGATCAAAACAAACCTGAGGAAATTAAGTCGTTCTTGGACTTCTTGAATATGACTGTATCTACTTCCTAGTCTTACAGTTTGTGGGTCATAGTCTTCATAATCTGCATATTAAAAATACCGTGAAAAAAAATACCATGAAATTACATGCATCCACTGCTGAATTTAGCAAAAATACAGAAATAATCACTTTACTTAATAAGTAAGATGTAATACTTCATAATATTTCTATGTGTAGACAGAAAGCCAAAGATTTTTAATTTGTCAAAGTATAAACTGCCAAGTGTTTTTTTTTAAATTTTTGTTTTCTGAGTGAAGGTCTTGCTATGCAGCCCTTGCTGACAACGAATTCAAGACGTATAGACTAGAGAGAGGCTTGCCTTTACCACCAGAGTGTTGAGAAAAAAAGACTTGAACTTTAATCTGCCTAATTGTCAAATGTTATAAAAATCATTTTTCTCTGTAATAATTCTTTCCTTCTGTGCACAGTTATACTTCCCACCACATTTTATTCTGCTATTATAATTTGGAAATTTATATAAAATATTTAGTGTAAAATATGGTATTATTTCATTCACTCCAAAAGGTACAGTAAGAAAAGAAGGCATTAAATTTTATGAAATTACCATAATTATATTTGTCACAAGGGTATGAGCATTAAGCATGGATCAAATATTTTAATGTTATTCTTCCTGTTATGATTATTGACACATGCATTACTAACTAGACCTAAGACAGACTGAAATACTTTCTTTTTCTTAAGAATAAAATCAACAGTATGGATTTCTTTTATTAACAGCATCACATATGTCTCTAGTGTCTATTAAAAGAAAAAATGCATAGTAAAAATTCTAAAGGGGTAGGCATGGTGACATATCTTTATTACCAGCACTCAGGAGATAGTTGTAGGCTGCTATCTGGGAGCTCAATTCCAGATTGATCTACACAGCAAGTTCTAAGTTATCCATAGCTATACAGTGACAGAATATATTAAAACTCCAATCAAATGCGAATGAACCTATCAAGCTCCCCTGAAAGTCATTCTGACAAAAACTAAAGTATCTACTATGATTAAAAAATAATGACCATGCTAATTTATTAATCTTAGATTACAGGAATGCATCAATGATTATAACAGATGAGAAAGATAAAATTAAATTTTTAGAAACTCCAGTGGAGACCAAGGACATCTATCTGGGACAAATGTATACTAATGAAATGAAGCAAACATTCTGATATTACCTCTGTTTTAACACGTAATTTATCTACAATGCAAGTATGTTATTATTCTATAAATGTAAAAACCATAATAATGCTTGAAATAACTTCCATGGTTCTTAGCTGTTCAGTGGGAAAAGGATTAAATCTGCACCAGAGCTCTGAATTTATCGAAACATAAAGAATATAGAAAAATAAAAATGTGAACATTTTTATGATCAGGAGGGATGAACCAGTAATGGGAACAGAATCTGATTATAAAGCAGAGAGAATTACATTGGCTTTGAAATACATACATGGCCTTTTTCCAGACTATCTTGGAAACCTTCACTTCCTGACTAGACATTAGAAATGAAATCATAGGAAAAAAAGATCCAAAATAGTCTACTTTTCAGAAGGAACTTTGTTAGCATTTTGAGGGCTCTTTATACTCAAGTAGGTTTGAGGTAACAGACTAAGAAAAACAGTAAACTTTCACTTGTCTAACTGTTTCTTTTCAAAAGAAATATGCTACAAGGTTTTAATGCATATGTTGCCTTGCTTGTTCAAGGAATCCACTGAAAACCTTTCTATGGCACTGGTCATTTGAATTTGCTTTTATAAGTTCTTTAATGGGAGAAAAGAATTTATCTGTGGAAAAACAGAAGAGGATGCAGAATTCTTACTCTCCTTTCTGTACACCACTGCAATATCTAGTCTCATCTCCAACCCTGGAGTAGACAGTCTGAAGGGGATCCTTCCCACTCTACTTCCATTCTCTTTCCTGTGGACATTCTCAGCCCTCCCTTCTAGTCCAGTCCCATTCCTTTGGGTCAAACTCCAATACCTAGAAACACAATACCTAAAAATTCTATGTGTATTAGAGCTCTCATTTTACAGAAACAGTAACTCCATGGTCAACTTGGCAAAGACCCAATCCTCCCTGTCCTCCACTATGACTTCCTCATTCTCACCTCAGTCAAGTAACACCAAGTTTACAGGTGCCATTCCTCCCATATCAACTGCATTCACTGGAGAATACACTCTTTATAAATGATAGGGTCTACCTAGCCCTTTCAACTCATCTTTCTGAATTATTCTTTTGTCTTTAAGAGCCAATTTGTACAATCCTCTAAGTTCCTTCCCAAAATTTATCTCAGCCTTTTATCTTAGCCCATCTTTATTTCCCTCTGTTATCCACTAACCTGGAAAAGTACTCTCTACCAGGTATTACACAGCCACCATATGTTGTTAAGGTCCAGAAAGAAAACAAGGTACAAATCCACTAACAAAGACAGGAGCAGGTATCAACACCTAGAATCAACTAAATCACTCCAAACCCAGATGTCTACACAACATCACAAAAGGACATATTAACACTCAAGAGAACATGCGTCCATCAAAAACCTAGTACTATAACAGGGCATTAAAATGCACTACCATTGTATAGTTAAATGTAGTCCAGTTATAGTTGAAGCATAAGATATGAATTTCAAAATAAAAATTATGAGTTGAGGATAGTGGAACACATCTTTAATCCTAGCACTCCAGGAGGCAGGGACAAGTGGCAGATCTTTGTGAGTTCAAGGCCCATCTGGTCTACAAATCTAGTTCTATGACAGCTAGTACTGTACAAAGAAACTCTTGGAAGAAAAAAAAAGGAAAAAGGAGGAAGAGTAAGAGGAGAAGAAAGAAAAAAGAAAGGAAAAAAGGAAAAAAGAAGGGAGAATTATGAACATGTACAATTATGAACATGTACAAGAACCTTAAAGGTGATAAGAATCATTCCCTTAATAAAGTCTGTGAAAACACAATGGGATGAAATAATGAATATAGTTCAAGACAAGAAAGTAGAAGCAGAATCAATGAAGGCAAGGCAAACTGAAATAAAACTAATAATTAAAATTTGGAAGGCAGACAAAAACTTCAGAGGAAAGCCTCTCCAACACAGAACAAAACATGGAAGACAGAATCTAAGGCACTGAAGAAAGGTAAGAAGAAACAGAAACAACAGCCAAGGAAAATGTTAAGTATAAATATATTCAGGCATAAAACATACAGAAAATCTGAGATACCACAAAAGACCCAATTTACAAACAACAGAAAAAACAGAAGAAACCCAGATCAAAAGTACAGAAAACATTTTCATGAAAATCACAGAAGAAAAATTTTCTGATTTGAAAATAAAGTTGCCTTTCAGGGTACAAGAATAAAGGGCCAGAAAAAATTCTCCACAGTACATAATAATTTAAACACCAAATGTACAGAACAAAGAATGTTCAAAGGTTAAAGTAAAAAGGAAAAGTAACATATAAATGCAGACCTATCAGAATAACATCTGACTTGTCAATGAAGACTCGTAAGAAGCAGAGGGTCTGCATGGTTGTTCTATATTCCAAATTTAACCATACAGAAAGCACTAGAAGAAAACCTGAAGTTCTCACTGACAAAAAAACAGAAAGAATAAATAATTTCTTATCAGAATATTAAATGAGGTAAAAAGAAACAAAAGTCATAACAGTAAAATACCAGAATCAGTTAGTACTGCTCATTGATAACTCAGTATTAATGATCTCAATTTCCAAATAAAAAGACACACACTAAGAGAGTGGATTAGCAAATAAGATACATGTTTTTACTGCATCAAAGAAATGCATCTTACTTGAAAGGTGAGAGATCACATTAGAATAAAAGAAAATTTATTCCAATGAATTTAGTCCATGAAACAAGTTGCTGCAACCATTTCAATATCTAACAAAATAGACTTCAAACAAAACTTAATCGAAGAGATGCAAAAGGACACAACAGATTCAAAGGAAAAAAATCAAGAGGATACTGCAATTCTTACCATCTATGCATCAAACATAAGGGCACCCAAGTTCATAAAAGAAACACTACTACATTTTAAACCACACATTGAGTTTCATGCAGTGATAGAGCATGACTTCAAAATGCCAATCTCAGCAATAAACATGTCTCTCAAACAAAAACTAAACAGAGAAATCCTGGAGTTAAATAACACCATAAAGATTTAGCAGATATTTATAGAACAATTCATTCAAATACCAGTTATACAGTACACACACATGTATATTGTTCTCAGTGTATCACGAAAGTTTTCCCCAAATTAACCACATATCTGGACACAAAGCAACAGATACAAGAAGAATGAAATAACACTCCGAAATCCTGTCTGACTGTGGCTTAAGCCGGATATCAATGTCAACAGTAACAAAAAAAAAAAAACAAAAAAAAAAAAACGACCAAACTCATGGAAACTGACTCACTACAGAATAAAGTCAAGAAAAAAATAAATAAGGAAATTAAAAGCAGAAATGAAAAGAATATCAAAATATACTAAAATCCATTAGAAACAATAAAAACAGTTCTAAGAGGAAAGTTTAGAGTCCTAAGTACCTGCTCTGACACTTGGCACAGTGACAGTCATTTGGAAGAAAGCCTCTGTTGAAAAATGGCTCCATAACATCTGCCTGTAGGTATTTTCTCAACTAATACTGGGGTGTCAGGGGTAGGGCATGGGACACAATCCCATTTGTGAGCTGGTGGCCCTGGGATGAGGAAAGGGGGCTGAAAAGCCAGTAAACAGCTCCCCTCCATGCCTCTACACCAGTACCTGTCCCCAAGTTTCTGTCCTGACTTCCTTCAGTGATGAACAATGATTTGGAAGCGTAGGATAACTAAGATCTTTTCTCCCCAGTTTTCTTTTGGTTAGGTATTTCATCAAAACAATAGTAACCTAAGAAAAGGTCAACATAATAAAACTAGGAGAAGTCTCACAGAAGCTTAAAAACATACCTGAAAGCACTATAACAAAAATAAGAAAGAACAGTCAAAAAGAGTAGAAAGCAAGGGGAAAAAGATTAGGATTGAAATCAATAAAATAACA